AAAAATTAAAAAAATCCAAACTGGCTATCCAACCTACCCTACCCATCCTTAGTAAAATTTTTCGCTGAATCCGAAATTCATAAAAAAAAGTTCTGACGTATGGATATCCCCCACACCCTCAATTCCCCCTAAAAATGCAAAAAAATCCAAACTGGTCATACAATCTACTTATATTTAGTAAAATTCGCTGAATCCGAAAATGGCAAAAAAATTGTTTGGACGTGAGGGATCCCTCTACTCATTTGTATCTCTCACTTTCTTCTTTCAAAAATAAAAATAAATACAAATCAAACGTGGCAACCGTTATAACTTTTATAAAATCTGTCGATAAAACCAAAACAAAAAAATATTTTTGAACTAAAATCTCCCTTTGCTCGTACACTTAACCCCACCCCCAGCTAGCATTTTCAAATTACGGTTAGCATCCTAGCATTGATGACATATTTTATTGAAAGCTTATTGTTTTCCAAAATGTTTCAAACTCTTAAGTAACTTTAAGCTAGGTAGGTATTTTCTAAATCCAGGTTATAACTTACACTGGGTTGGTAGACGCCTTGACGAGGCCCCAGGGCTTAAACACGCATTTTAATTGAATGCGAAGTTAAAATGCTAAAACGTTTTAGAAAATACCTTCCGCATACTACTAGCTTAATGTTACTTAAGAGCTTTTGGAAAATAGTAAGCTTTCACTGAAAAATTTCATCAGTGCTAACCGTAATTTGTAAATGATATCTGGGAGGCGAGGTTAAGTGTACGAGCAAAGGAAACTTAGTTCATCAATATTATTTAGTTTTAGTTTTACCGACAGATTTTATAAAAGTTACAAGAAGTATGATTCTCGAAAACTTACGACTCATACTTACACTTTCTGCAAAAGAAGAAATAATATAACAGCGAAAACACAAGAACGATCCCTTTAATTGGGTCTTGCAGGTGGCATATAACTCTCTTCCTGTCCAAAGCGTACACGATCATAAATGCGCATAAAAAATACACCCCAGACAGCTGAAGGAGCTTGGAAAACTGTACGGGGAAACTGCATATCCTTATATTCCTGTATTTCTCACAGAAACACTTTGCAATGACCATTGTCACGACGAACAGGAGGGTGGAAATGGAGGTATTGGTCAAAATCATGGAGTAAGCGCTGCCACGGACGTTTATCGCTTCCAAATAAAGTGGGAACAGTATGAGCATCACAGATGTTGAAAAGATTAGGGCTAACTTGGTGGTGATGAATTCTAGTTTGGTGTGGCAGAAGTAGGTAAGGGTGTGTCGGTAGTTTTCTTCAGGCTTATCGATAGGAAGACATTGGTCTTCGGTGTCAGACAAAGACTCATCATCTGTGCACTGTAATAGCTCGTCGTGATCGTCTTCTTCCATCTTAAATATCTAAATATAGTGCAATGATTGAAGTATTTATTGTTTATTTTGGAAAGGTCAGGTGATTTAAATTTAACTACACATATAAATAAAAAGAACAATATTTAGGTGCACATTTAAATAGCTCCGTAAAAATATTTATGAATTAATTACTTACTCTCTTACTATTTGTTTTTTCTTCTACTTTATGCTTTATATGAAACTGTTTTGATTCTTTTTTACGAATATCATGTCAATGTCAATTGTCAGCTGGTGTCAAATCACTGTCAAAAGTGTCAAATAAATCTGTCGTGTTTTAAGCTGGTTCAGAATGTACTACAGAATCTAGCAAATCAGCGTTGAAAATATATACTTCATTCACTTGGCGCTATAAAAATCGTTATTGTGTATATATAAATTTATTAAATATATAAATTACTTCTACAAAATTTGATCATAAGTTTTCATGATTACTTTTTATTATTAATTAACAAATGTTTTTTATGGACTTCTTGGCATTTCAAATTATTAAGCCAAAATGTCCTTATATTGGATAAAGTAAACTATAAATTTGCATATATAAGTGTGAAAAAGTTATTAATTATTATTAAGTTCACAATAAAAACAACAAATTCTGTATTAATAATATGAATTTGTTGCAAAAGAGATTACAAGATGACGTGACATTTAAAAATTTTTAATGTAAATCTATTAGCTTTACGAATTTTGAGGAATATGTCAAAGTTGAGATTTGAAACAACAAATATTAAATAACTATTATTTTTAAAGTCATCAGTTAAATTACAAATGTAAAATAATATATTACCTCTGCTACTACTGAAATTTAATAATTTAACAAATTGGTCTTTTGACATTTCTTAATAATAATTATTATTGAATAGTTAAAAGTACATTTAGTCAATATTTGTTAAATAATCATCAAAATAATAAAAAAAGCATAACCAGTTTTTGTAAATGTATAATTGAGTAGAACGGCAGAAAGTTGTTTTAAATTAAGTAGCCTCATGAGTATTTTTTATTATTTAATTATTAGATACTTGTATTACCTACTTTAGATTTTGTCATTTTTCAACAGAAGGAAATTGGAACTGTGCCATTTTCTAAACAAACATTTTTTATTCAAAAAACAGTAGGTAATTTATATTGTTGCAAAATAAAATTCTTTATTATCACGATATTTTATTGTTGTTATGAAAAAAATTCTTAATTATTTTTATTTCTTATACGTTTCGTACGTTTAGTAAACAATTTTTCAAATTTTTATATATTGGGTAGAGGTCTGGGATATCATATAGCACAGGTACAAAATATAGTTCTCATTTTATTAAAAATACTAGAAAGGTAGGCAAACTTCGCTGACGCGAAGTTTGACCTTTCTCTCGGGCCTTCGACCCTCAAGCCGCGCTGCGCGCGGCCCGAGCACCGCTCCGCGGTGCTCTCCTCGCTGGTTAGTAAATATAACATTTTTTGAAACACCCTGTACTTTAGTTTTTAAACACCCCGTATATAAAAGTATAATGAGAACGTTTTTCAAAAAAGAGTAGGCCCCGCTCGGGGAAAGACTAAGAAAAGTTTCTTCCAAACTTCCAAAAAAGGCGTCTGGTTAAATGAAAAAAAAAAACCTAGTCCACCTGTGTCAGTTTTTTGAAACACCCAGTACATAAATTGCAAAAAACATGTGGTTAGTAGGGAATAAAATTTTTCATAAAAATATTGCAGACTTCAGTACAAACTGTAGAAATGGAAACAAATATACCTAAGGAAAGTTTCGTTCTGTTGGTAATTGGATCAGTTTTGTGGAACATCCAGTATAAAGATTCAAAAAGACACCTGGTTAATAAATATACAATTTTTCATTCAAAGACTTTAGTAAATAAAGACAAAGTTAAAAGTGAAAAAGGAAAAAATTGCCCGTAATTCAGCAGATGTGGGTCAATTTTGTGGAACGCCCAGTACATATATAGATTTTCTAAAAAGCGGCTGGTCAATAAATATACAACTTTTCATCAAAAGATTCCATGAAAAAATTAACAAAATGAATAAGGGAAAATCTGGTACACCTGTGTCAGTTTTATGGAACATCCTGTACATAAATTGCAAGAA